TTAAATTAATATTTATAAGTTGAAGAGAATCCATTTCATTTTTGTAACTTCCAGTATAAGGGAATATTTGCTCACTGTTTTTTTAGGTTCTCCATTAGCTCAAATAATGGACTTTATTTAAACTGATTGATATACTTGTACAGATATTTTTATAGACTACAAGTTCAAGTCAGACTTAGGAGTCACAGTTTGGCATCTTGTCAAGTTGGGACATCCATTTGTCATAGTTATCCTCTTTTTAAAAAGTGTTGATTCGATTTTCTAACAATCCTAGGTATGATGGTGCAGTGGTTAAGAGCTAGACCCATTTAAGGAGGCAGTAGTCCTTGACCCAGCTGTCATAAGTCCCAACCCATTGTCCTTTGTTGCATGTTGTTCCTTCCTCTCTCACTGCCAGTCCTGTTTGCATAGTTTCAAAAATGCTAAAAGCAAAGACCACTAGTGCATAAAAACATCTTTAAAAAGAATGTGGACCATCTGGAACACAAATTACACACACAAACCCCTTTTTGAAAAAACAAAAAGTGTTTATTATGGATTTTTAATAGTTAATACTCAGCCAATCGGCAACATGGAAACAAAAAGTACCTTTATTGAAAAGCAACATTTTGAAAATACTGAAATATCACATGTAGGCTTAGTAATAAAAGATAAAATTTGTAGTCATGGTAAACAGAAATAACAATTGTGGTGTCTAATGTGGTGTAGTAAGGTTTTTAAAATGTGATCTATCTTGATTTATCTTTCTATAAAAAAGAATAAAATGGTGGAATCTGGGTTCTCATGTATAAAACATTGTGTGGAATACAAAATAAAAGTGTATAGTATGTACAGTATGCAAAAACCCAAAAATGGAGTACCCCATACACATTTGTTTTTTTTTTTAATCTTTATTAAACCAGGTGTACGCTGGTCAATTTCATTTATAAATCCCAGCTGTGTCTCAATTTTTTTTTTACCTAAGACTCCACATCATGCCCAGCCCTCTTTAATACAGGGTATTTAATTTGAAGTTGGTGTACGCAAATTTCAGGCCTAGGTTTGTACATGTGCAAGCTTTATAAATGACACCTCTGGTGTGTTGACGCTTGAGATCAGAGTTAGATAATTTTAGAACATAGTGAAGTTCCAGATGTTTCTGGGATCCCTTTACCGACTCCTAAAGATGCATGTAGAGGGTGAAAGATCTGGAGTCTAATTAATAAAGGTTTTATAAGTACATAAAATGGGCCTGAAAGTTGTGTATGTCATCTTCAACACAAAAGTTGCCATATAAAACAAAAAAAAGCCATGACAAATACACACACACACATATTTTATATATATATATATATATATATATATATATATATATATATATATATATATATACATATACATATACATACACACTCCATGCAGTAGTCAGTCTAGAATATATGAAAGATAATCCCCAGGATTTCTATCTGGCATGTTGGTACATAAAGATTATCAAAAAGTTTCAGTTTTCATAAAAAGCTGTGCTACATGGAGATGCGGCTAAAGCACACAACTGCAGGCATTTCTTTAGCACTTTACTTGGAAAAGTTGAAGTGGGCTTCAGTAACTTTTAGTTTTGGAGCACATAAAAATGCAAGCATGCGTATAAAATATTATATATATATATATATATATATATATATATATATATATATATATATATATATATATATATATATATATATATATATATATATAGTATGTTTATTTAGAAGTTGTAATTTTTTTAACCTGTAGCAACATTGCAGTACAGACATTAGTTCAAAAAAATTATTTCCTTCTCTTTAAAGAAAACAGTGTTTCATATAGCCTCACTTATTCTACTACCTGCTACTTAACTAACAGAGAAAGTTTATTTTAATCAGTTACAGAGCTTATTAGCTTTAAATTAATTACTTTTATTACAATTTCATACAACTTACTGTTTCATGAAAGCTTTGTCTCTAAAAATATTGTTTGCCAGACAAATTCTTGCATATTATTATTCAATATGAGCATGTAGAAAGAATGCTTTTCATATTTAGTCTGCAGTCTCAAATATTCAGTTCATTCAAAGGTAAAAATCTTTCAACATGTTAAATGAAATAAAAATCTGATAATGAAATTAATGTGCTATTTATCCTATGTGTCCATAGTTTTCTAAACACGCAACAAGCTCCAGCTTGTGAGCAGAAGAGTCACTGTTGGACTTGCAGACTGTTGACTGGCGAAGAACCAAGGGAAACATCTCAAAAGCCTCTGATCTGTCAGTGTCTGTGCCTTAACAAGGCCTCCACTTGAATGCAAAAAAAAAAAAAAGGTTAGAGAACTAATAAAGTTTAATCAAGGAGAAAAGCTACTATCATTGACTGTATAAGCAGATCAAACGTTTCAGATATAATCAGGTGATACATTTTTTTTTTACATAAGTGTGCTACTGTACAAAAGCAAGAAAAACCAAACATTTGAAATAAATTGAATATGTGTGTGTTTTGTTTCCCAAAAATCATTGCTCAAAAGGAAAACATTACATTTTTATGTTAATCTGTTAATGTTACTCTGAGCTCAAATCTGTATCATTTCCCCTCTAAATTTACGTTAACAAGACAATACTAATCAAGAATAGCCAATACAGAGACATGGATTGTATTTATTTCCCACCTCCTGTTTTTGACAAGCTTTGACTGTATCAATACTGATCTGCACCATAAAAAACAACTTAAAATATAGATAGAATAACTGCATTTTACATGTATATTCTGTCTTTTATTGATGGCATTAGGAGATGCAATCTCAGGGCATACTGTATGACTGCAAGAACAAGCACTGTATAATATGGTTTTACTAGTATATAACAAGCAAAGAAAGAAATATCACATATTACGTTAGTGCATCTTATACTTGATAGTAGTCTTTTCAGCATACCATTCATAAAAGCATCTGCTCTGTCCAGCCATATTTTCTTTAAGTACCGGTATTTATCTCTCTCACTTTCTCAAAAGGTGAATGAATCAGGGAATACCTAACTATTTGTGGAAAATACACTATATCTTTTTAAATAGCTCCCTAGATCTTTATACCTCCGCTTAGTTGATTTTTCAACACCTGATTGATACAGTAATTATAAATAGCCAACTTTTTAGTTTTTATCCCAGGCTTTAGTTTTAGAAAGGCCATTTCGCTATCCACTTTTGTTCCATGACAGATTACATTGGGACATAATCGACTCACACTGCCAACCTGAATCTCTATATAGTGGCCAATGTTGTTTTATAAAGTGGCTGTTATATGGAAAATGGTGTTTTTTTTCCTAAACTTTAGAAATTCTGTCAAATGTTAGTAGTGGTAAACAATTACATCTCTCAGTATGGATGTTTTTGGTTGTGTGTTTCTACCATCATTGAGTTAGCCAAGCTTTTAGGTGGAAGCCAGAAGTTTTTCAGGATTTTTTTTTTTTAATCAAGATTTATAGAAAGTAAAT